GTGGAGGGAACGGCCGCCAGCAGCGACGGCGGCTCAGATTGCCAATCGGTCGCCTCGTCCAGCCGTGAGTCCACCCTGAGGAGGAAGAGCGGCTCCCACATCGTCCACGTCCCTGAGCGAGGACCCACCCCCGACCTCCACAACAATTACCGCCACAGTGATGACGGTAACCGCCCCGACAATGAAAGCAGCAATCGTTTCCACGAAAACCTTCGAAGTTTTCAGGAAAACCCCATCCACCCTAACCTGCCCAACCACCCCAACAGGCAGATGCAGGGGATGTTTGGCCGTCCCAGTCCAACCCCTCCCCCTACCTTACCCCGCCCCATCCTGACTCACACTCCACCTCCTACTCTGGGGCTGGCCTATAAAGAATGACAGAGTTAAGTTCATCCATCGACACCTGTGATAACAATGTGTGCTACTTTCAACGGAGATACTGCTTGGGCCAGTCAGAACTTCAGAAATGAAAGGAAATTTGGTTAAATCTGTCTTATAGGGGGTGGCCACAAATCCTATCCACAACCTCTCACCTGACCAATCAGGGCACAATGTATGTGTCTCCCCCCAGCACCCCAGCTGGATAAATGTTGTCTTACTAGGAGACGTACTGTAGGCTCATAAAACCTACTAGCAATAGGTTCACCATCTAGTTTGAGTCAAGCCATAGAAAGTACTAACACAATTATCCCCACCCCCAATCTCCAACTGGCCAATAAGAAAGGACTATAGTTAAGGCTTAACATATGAGGGGTGAGTTTGATTCAACATTATGAGGGTTTTTTTTATCTTGGACTGCTGTGTACACCATTTTTTTTGTAAATGCGATACATTGAGTGCACTTTCTTCATTGGCACAAGGAAAATGGGCTAAATAAACTGATTGTCCTTTGACTCACTCAGAAGGAGAGATTCCAGCCTCCTCAGTCTGTCCCATAGCTCCCTGCCTGCGAGGATGGATTCAGCCTAATGACTCCTCTGACTGCTAGGTCAGCTGTAAATGGGATCACATTCTTATTACTACATTCATACACAGTATATTCTCAGCTTTCATCCTGGTGTCAAACACAGGGACCGATATGTAAACCTTTACAGTGTAACCACATTAGATGGAAATTTGAACTCAAAGCCCATAACTGTGCTGTGTTTGTACATATGATTGTGGGTGGCCACAGTGGAAATTAAAACCCACAGTCTTGATTGTGTCTGGGCTACAAGGAGTCCCTTTTGGGCAATAATTATATCTCTTACTTCATCGTGGTATTGTGTTTGTATTGGGTACGAACAATATGATGGAGCATACATTGTGTTTAAATATAGTAAAACAAGCGCTCTGTTTTTTACATGCTGTATTTTAATGATGTGCAGTATATCAGTTATCCTTACTGTGTAGTAGCTGTACTGTACACCGACACATGCAGCATGTTAATCATCTGAACAAACTTAGACTATACACACGTCCAAAGACTGAAGGAAGTGAAGTGTTTTGTTTTCTTCATTTTGGTTAATTTTATGAAGTTATCATGTCTCCCAGCATTATGGAGTGGGTGTACTACAGTTGAGTTTTAGGGAAACTGAAAAAGACATCTAATATTTAGAGAATAAAGTCATATATTTTAAGGAAAAGGTTGCAATATTAAAATAATAAAAAATGTAATTCAATGCCACAGTACAATATTACAAGAAAACAGTCCTAACAAAACAGGAAGAAAGATTGTAATTTAAAAAAAATAATGGAATAATATTTAAATAATAAAGTGTAATTTTATGAAAATGTATAATACAATACGATTGTTTTAAAACATTGTAATAACAATACAAGACAATGCTTTAATTCTAGTCAAAATAGTTTAAAAATTGTTATAATTTACAAGAATAAAGTGTAATTCTACAAGAATGTATGATACAATACAATTTTACAAAATAGGATAACACTACAAGATAAAGTTTAAGAAAACAAAATGTACAAGTGTAACATTAAAAATAATAATAATTTCTTAATCATATGAAAAAAAGAATTAAGTTGCAATTGTCCATGAAAGTCATTATAAGAATAAAGTTATTATTTTGAGAACATTTCGTAATATTTCAAGAACAACAAAATGTCAGCTTTTTTTTTAGCATTGCCCAGCTGTCCATGTTGTTGTAGAAGACTTGACATGTCTGTACTCAACTCTTCGGTGCATATTATAACTTCAGATCCTCAATAGAATATTAATATCAAAATATATAATTTTACAATTTCAATCTGGAAATATTATGATTCATATTTATATTTCTTCTCAGAAAATATTATTTTCATAATATTGTGGCTTTCTTTTCTGGACTTTACTCAAATTATAGGTTTTTTGCGAAATGACACCTTAATACTTATACTATTATGACCTTTTTTTTCTCACTAATTTATTCTGAAAATCAGTGGGAGCATAATATTCCTCACTAACTTTGCCTTGGTATTTTGCATGAGTGGTTGAGATTATGAAGTACAAACCATTCTGACATTTCCACTCACGAATATTGGAGAAGAATAACCTTAAAATGTTCTGTTTAGTGATTAGGAGACACAACACACGATTCGGACTATTTAACACACGTTACTTATCATTTTCTGAGCCCAGTGTTTACATTCTGTGTTTAACTTAGTGCCCAAGTGCCATCAAAAGAAAAGTCATGTGACTGTGGGCTAGTCACATAGATATACTGTGTTAGTGCAGGGCTGTAATGGATAATGTAAAACTGCCTTGGGCATAGAGTTTGAAGAATTTGAGAAAGCACAATTGCTGCAGCTCGATGACAGTGGATATTTATAGCTGTGTACATATCTGTATCATTTCTCTAAGCTGCCACATGATGATGTTTCTGGAGATGATGATGGCCCTGTTAATGGTGTTGTAAAGAGCTGTGTTGTTTTTAATGGAATACACAATAAGTAACAGGAGAGGACTTATTCTAATGGTTCAACATTTATTATAGGGAGTAATTTGGTTAAACAAGCTGATATAGGTATATGTTTGAATGTGACAGATGCGTTTTATTGGCTACTCAACTCCTTTACATTCTGTTCCCTTTAACATGAAAGAATGGAGATTGGTCAACAAGAAACGTTGTCAATGTTTGAAGAAAGGCATTCAAGAAGGTTTCTGTGCCTGTTCTTTCATTGATCTAGTTTGGCGTGTTCTTGGATTTTTGGTTCTCTTGCTGTCATTATTCTTTTTAGCTGGAGGTTTGGAGAGAACAGGCAGAAAATTTGGAATTGTTTTGGAAAAATTGTGTATCACCTGTAAACACTGTAATGAACCAGAGGGGCGTAGGTGACATTGTGAGCGAAAAAGAGTTATAAATATCAAATGAAAGCTATTGATGAGCGTTTAAATATTTGGGGGGGGGGGATTTTTGCCTTTGTTTCACAGGACAGTTTGAGATAGACAAGAAAGGGGGAGAGAGAGAGGACTCAGTTTGCTCTACCAGGTGAGCTACCAGGACGCCCCACTCCAAAGTTATTAACCAAGAACTTTTTGGGGCCAAAAGGGTGCGAGTGTACTTAACAGACAAAAGCATATTTTTTTCAATAATTGTCAAAACATTGTTCATTAAGTATACTGACATCCACGTATTTATGAAGTTTTAATATTAAAGTCTGATTTTAAAAGTCCAGTGTGTAGGATTTAGCGGCACCTAGTGGTGAAGTTGCAGATTACAACTAACTAAACACTGCTCACATCGTGTATTCGACGACCTTGGAATGAGGGCTGAGAAATTTGTAAGAGAAATTAAGGTGACCACGTAACTCACGAAAAAACACAAATAGAGCCAGTGTTTAGTTTTTCCATTCTGGGCTACTGTAGAAACATGGTGGTTCAATATGGTGGACTCGCTTTAGAAACTTTAGAAACAGATGTTGTTTAGTTGTCATTTAGTAGAAAGTCTTCTTTTAACCATTAACAGTCTAAATTGTCTACACATAATGCACCCCTTAACCAAAGCTTTACCTGCCTAAATCATTTACAAACATCTTCTCTTCTGACACATGTAAATGGTAGGATACAGTTGTATTATTATTCTAACACAGCCCGGAGGAATGTAATGAATATGATATTCCCATAAAAGTTTATTATTTTTGCATACTAATCTGTGCATACATTCTGTGAGGCCTATATGTTCCAGTACGTTTCCAGCAATTCATGTTTCGCAGTGAGACTGTTTAACACGAATACTGAGATAGACAGTAAAACAGTCCCCTTAAAAATGAATAATCACATCCACATATGTGTTATTTATCCCTGTGTATAGCCTTGGAGACAAAGAAGTATATTTTGATATGATAGATGTTGTGGAATGTGGTTTGTGATCAAACGCAAGAAATGTTATCTAACTTGATGTGAAAGGCATGTCAGTGGAGTATAATTTCAGTTCAATAAGCTACCTGTACTCATATTTAGTTTAAAAATGTTACATTTTGAGTATGGTTTTGTGTGCTTTTAGCAAGAGGAACAAATATTAATTTGATAGGAAAATTGAATGAGCTTGGTGTAGTGGAAATGAGAAGTTGATTTTGGAATACTGATGTGTCTGATTGTGTTTGCAGGGGAAACCTTTGAATTACAGCTTATTAAGAAAGGCAAACAATCAATAGAGTATTGGCGGCAAAAGCTAACAGCATGTTTATGTTCTTATGTTGTAATGTCCTTAAACTATGGTTCTCATCTGAATTCCTTTTTTTAGTATGGTATTTTTTGCCATTTTCATTGTGGACATTGTTACCTAATTGCAGTTTTAGCATTGGTATGTTTAAAATCATGGTTGCTAACTAATGTGTTTTGAATGAAGATAATGGGAAGTACAACTTAAATGAAAGTTGGTTAGGATTTGATGGTTTGAGTACGAGGATGTACATTGCAACCCCGAAATCCAAGCAAATTTGTGGATACCAAAATGGAAATGGAAAAGTTTCAAGTACAGTGATTGCATTGAAACTCCCCTTTAATGTGCAATCTGCCCAGCTCCCAGCACATGATGACATGGTGAGTCCAAGAATTATCTTTTTGTTGCAAGAATGTCACCGCACCTGATCATTACTGTCACCAAAGTAAGGCCCAGCAACTGAAATCAGGGGCAGAGGAAAACCACTCGTTCTGCTCCGTCCTCTTACTTTGGCTTTTGAGTGTATAGTAATGAGATCTAGTTGTATTGTGCAATTTGCTATCACAGAAGTATATTCTGTGAAATTCAGATGATATTGTATATATCTCTGAAACTCACATTGTCGTTAGCCGGCTGTTTTATTAACTGCAGCTTGTGCACCCTGGAACTCCAGTAAAAAATGTTTGCAGTCTTAACTTATCAAATTTCGATTTAGCCCTTGTTACTATTATATGATAAGTATATGAAAAGGGGTTGAACTAGCTGATGTTGAAGTCTTTAGTTTGGAAATGGTACTGATAATTAACTAGTTCGATGGGGGTAGCAGTTTATTAGCTTACTTGCATATTAAGGGTACCTGGATTGTTATGCTAGCAGCTACATAGCTAGCCTTCATACTACCTATTGTTACACAATAAAGCTGCAGTAGATCATTTTTATATTGTCATATTTGCTGCAACTTTCACTATATCCTGACAGCAGTACTTGAGACAGATAATCGGTGAAAAAATCAGGTTCCTAATGGCATTTGCAAGAATCCACCAGGCCCGAACAAAAACAACCAATCAGAGCCCAGAAAGATTGTTGATTGTTGAGTCTCATTCCCAGGGCATCAAATACAGACGCTTTGGGACTCTGGGAATGAGACTCAACAATCAGCTATCTTCAAGCCACCAACCCAAAGCGTCTTTA